ATGCGGATGGTTTTTTGAGTATATTCTTGTAGAGGAAATCAAGCAGATCATTCCTAGTTAAAACCCGAACTCAATATTCAAATTCTGTCGAGAGAACAAAAGCCGCGAAAAAATCCGCAATAATTACATTAACCTAATATAACTGGAACATGACCAGATTGCACGTTAATAGTGGTGAATATTCACAATACACTGCTGATACACATATAGAAATTTCGCTTGATTAGATCCAGTAGGAAAGGAGTTATAACTGAAAAGTACGAGTGAAGAAGCATTTGGCCGAATACTTTTGAGCGCTACTGTAGATTACGACCGCTAACCAGCAAGGTTTGTAGCTCGGTGGAAGATCAAGCTTATTGTACTTTGTGTTTTGATATCAGTTACGACGAAGCTCGTCCGACCGCCAATAATTTGGGATTCTCAACAAATGATGTGCCTGTGGAGGAAAGAAGGTCCAGTGGTAACCACGTCTTATTATAGTGTTATTATCACTTGAGAGCGTTTGTTAGCTACTCAATTCTTTGGTTGCCTATCAGTTAAGCCTTTAGGCGGCAGGATGGGAACACTTATGGTGGGTGGGAGGACCAGACCTCCACTGGGGGCGGGATTCCCGCAAAATAAATGTCTGATGGTGAGTGAAAATCCATAACTACTGGCCCCGTGGACTTGGAGTGCGAAATAAGTAGGAGTAGAGGGGCCAGGATGGGAACACTGACGATGAAAGAGACCTTACGATGAGAGAACAAGGCCCAATCACCAATTAGATCCTAGCACCTTTGTTACGATCTGCCTTTGATTCTTTGATGTGTTTCATTCGCCAAGAAGGGTATGTGCACTGATAGGGACCGAATATGAAATTTGATTCACTTCTTGCTTACGACTGCTACCCAGCGAGGTTTGCAATTCAATGAGGGATCACGGTTTCCCTCTGCTTTGATATAATTCATGGCAAAACTTATCCGACTGCTAACAATCTTGAATTCTCATTTAGTGACGTATCCATAGAGGAAAGGAACTACATCCATAAAGACATTTGATAATGGTGTTATCATGACTCGACAACATTTGTGAGTACTATTCAAGGCTTTGAATGCCTACCACTTAAGTCTTCAATGGGTCATAATTTTCAACATCAACAGCGACAGATCGAGCAGACAGATTCCATTCAGAGGCAGAGGCATCGGCACATTTTGAATATCGTTTCCGTGCCCTGATATCCCTCTATTTCGTGTTCCGGAATGTATCATTCGCACCAAAGAAAGGGTGTGCTGTTTGTCCTTTATCACAACTCTATCATAATAAGGAGGGAAGCCCAGCTCAGCCGGGCGAACCGACTGGTATATATGTACACCCGGACGGTACAAAGTTTCTTCTTTGAATCGATGAACGTAGAATATTATAGCATCCACTGGTTCTTGTAGCAGTGCCCTCACCGAAAACTTGTTTGCTTACATAGCTGTCCTTCATTTAGTATTCTGTCAATCCTGTGAAGGATGACTTGGGTGAATGGTTTATAGATTACAAACAGCGAGCATCGGGCGATATTTGCCGGTATATTAGTCTCCCTTTTTACACGTGCCCAAATCTGTCTCCGCTCTCTCCGCACAGTCCCGCATTGACGTGATAGCATATCAGAATCTCAGGAAGATTACGAGAAATCGAGTAGTGCAGGTGGTCACTTCAACTTGGGATCCCTCCCTGGTAAGTATTAGGAGGGTGGCAGCCCCGGGGCGAGTGAGATGATTATCTCATGCGAAAAACTTGAAAACTCGTCCAATCCGGTGCTCCTTTCCTCCTAAGATTTTTTAAAAAATTGTATGTCCATGGTGTAACGCGTTATAACGCGTGAAACCTTGTTCGTTTCTCGAAATACCACCGCTGTGGCGGATAACTCTTTCCAACACTATTTTTATCGGGAATCATTATTCTTCTAAACTCGCAAAGGAAGAGGAGTGATCCAAAGTGATGACTGAATCAGGGCCTCGTTTCCTAAACTTCGCAGCTCTCTCTCTCCATGCACTGAGAATTATAATCTAGCGTGGAGGAGACGACGGACCGATCCCTGTACAACAACTGAAACAACTCTGACGTCAGTCGGGGGAAAATGATCGATCGAGAATGATGTGATCTATTTCTCTATGGAACTGTCTACCAGATTTCTCCCATATCCACAGCAATTAGAGCGCTCTGGAACTGCGGATTACAATGGGTGGTAAGAGTCGACGTGATGAACTCTGAGATTTTCCATTCCGTTTCGTTGGTCCTGATATGTTTAGCCGTTTATCTGGGGTGGAGGGGCGTAGTTGCAAGTGGCGCATTGTCACACACGCATGATCACCTGTTCAAATTTCGTACCGCCTAGGCCAAACAAGCCTTCCATGTCTCCGGAGTCGGTTAATTAGTACCAGACTTGTCTTAAGGATGAAAACACTGACTTGTTTATCGGCTGGCTACCGCAAATCATTGTATAGGCCACGTACGCATATTTTTTCCCTACTCATCTTTTTCTTGCTCGATAGTGGATAATATCCATCGTAGGTTGTTGGAGTCGAGGCTGTAGCACATCTTCTCAATTGAGAACGCCTGATTCGAGTTCTCGACGACCCCTCTGTTGCACATTCTGAAGAACAGTTCCGCTTTACCTTCGAAAACGGCCTGCAGCAAGCGATCCCTTTTTGTTTCAATCACAGAACCTTGACTACCGTTTGGCTTGAATACATCATCGACACTGTACTCGACCCTGCCTGGCATATATCCCTTCATTGGATCCACTTTTTTAGGATGTTTTTGATCATTTTTAATCTACCAGTTGGGCAACGCACGCTAATGCGTGCACCACATGCCCACTACCGCCTACCTATGACTTGTTAGAGGACCAATATGAGCAGTATCGGTTGATTTCCCATTTCATAACTGTTTCTTCACCGCGCTGACGTGACATTCACACTCTTCGTCGTGCCTACGTGACTTTCGATCCCGCCATTAAAATTCCAAGATTCCATTATTAACAGAAAGTGCACCTAGTGGCTCCTCTATGGTTTCTTGCAGTACCTATCTTTTGCTACCATTCCCTGTCACCATCATTCTTCCTACACCACCTGTCGAAGTGCCAAGGCTTCATCGTTAATAATACAAAGGGAGTTATGGGTCCAAAGGATTTTGCCTTTTAAAGCTTCTTATCGGTTCTATTGATTGTTCTCACTTCCTATTACATACCATCAGTGATTCCATCCTGTCGCCCTTCTCTCTTTCAATTTTGAATGCCCTAGGCCCATTGGGACAGGAGTTATGAATTTCCGGTCAGACAAACACACACAAACACACCAACAGACACACTTAGCCGACTATATAAGTAGGATGGCTCCTAGCTCACGTGATTTATTCGACACACCTTTACTCTACATATCTCTGTCGGGTTTTTGTTTTCGCAAGAAGCTCCTGTTAAAGAGCTTTCTTAAGCCATTGGAATTCAACCTAGTGAGCATGAGTGGTGATAATGAGGTCGAAGAGTGGCCTAGGTGCTAATATTCTATCGATTTTTACCTCTGGTCATACCAAAAACGCTAAATATGCAGAAACTTACTTGCAGAAGTGACGGCTGCTTATTTTTTCCATATGAAGAAGGATAAAAAGCTCGAACTTGAGCATCGGTACAGGCACATGTTTTTTTTCCAGCTAAAATCTTCCGATGTTTGGAGTAAGAGAAAAGCAATTGCTACTCTCCACTGTGCTGAGCACTTCAATCTCTTATTCCTTCTTCAACCGCTACTACTATTTTATCAATATCTGTGTTAATACATTAACCAGAAAAGCACTTTTTCTATTTGATTGTGGCAGTCGATGTACCAGGTTGCCCTGCAAAAAAGTAGCTTGCCTAGTTTTTTTTTATCAGTCCTGATCGTCGTTAAGATCTCGAGTATTGCAGGTTCTTTTAGAGGATCGAGAAGTGAGGAAGTGGGTTTAAGGTTTGCTTTGTAGAAATCTGAGTAAAAACCCTCAATCCATCCTAGTCCCTGTAGTCACTAGCGCTGGCGAAATCAGTGAATGGCGTCTGCCTGGAGAAATGAATATTAGTGAAATTTCTTCTCTTTATTTACAACTCAGTAAACAATGCAATCTAATCACCACTATAATAACCGTCGTTAGTCATAACACTGCCGTACCTAACGGGCAAATCAGCGATTCCCTTCTCCCAAAACTGGAAAGATTGGGAGCCAAAGAAGTCACAGACCACTTGGTCACGTCCTTCCTTGAACAGTCGAATTACACCATTCCATTTGAAACTCAGAAGCAGCAAAGTAGAAACTTCTTGGGGGCCTGATTTGGCTTGCGTCGGGGGCTGTTCTCACAGGTAGCGCGGTGATTGTTACAGTAGAGGATCCAGCTTTCATCCCCAGTAACTAAGCCTTCCAGAAACTCCTTTCGATGTGGGCGGAGAAGGAGAGGCTGACAAATGGATTAGTAGATGTACCGCATGCTACCGGTCAAGACATGCGGTATCCATCGAGTAAGCACTTCTGTGTAATCGAGGGTCCGAAGGCGATAAACGACTGTTGATTGACAAATCCAACTCCGTCGCTAGACTGCTGGCGTGCTGCCGGATACTCTTGAACGGTGCCTAGAATGGCGAAGTCGTCGATAGCGACGGGGCGCCCAACCGAACTTGTCTTCAGAGCCAGTGTCTCCTTACTTGGAGCAAGCGAACAGCGATGGACCGTAGCGATGGAAGTGGTCCACCCCTCGTACACCGTTGATTTTGCGAAAAGATACCGTCGCTCCGGTGCCGCGGCGCCACTCGTAGGAGTTGATGTATCGAACGTGGTCTTGTGAAACTGATATCATGATTTGAGCTGAAGTACGAAGCGCGTCTATACACTTATACTCATTGGGGAGAAGGTTCTAGAATGATCGATACAAATGGTGCACCACATGGTACATCATTGGTATCCATCATTAATCGGAAGTTTAGTAGCTTTCGAAAACCCTATAAAAACTTTCTGATCAACCTAATTTTATAGTTCTAGAGGGGCTTCCTAGCTCTGGGAGGGAACCAGAAAGCTGCTCCCTGGCGTGCAGCGTACAGGTCCTCATTCGAGGAGTCGCGTTCGCAAAAAATTCCTCGTAGCGTAGAAGATCGTGACCATTGAAGGCGTGAAACTCTTTGTTGGATTGGTTAGTCTAAAGAAACAAAAATGTGCAAGGGTTCAAACAGCTTCGAGACAATCGTCATCGACGGTATTTTTCATCTATGGTATTGGGTCCCGCGAAAGGTAATACATCAGTTCTCGGTCATCCAAACCCTCAGCCATGTACGCTTATTTGGGTTCGGGTTATAATTTTCCGGTGACAAATTCTGAAAAGTGCTGTCAAGGACGGGTATGTTCCGGTGGTGTTAATGTATGTTTGAGTTGTTGCCTTAGCGGTGCTCGCAGTAGGTAGAAGCTTAGAGTGATTCGTTGCCCATAGCAATTATAGAGACATAAACGAAGGTAACAGCTTTCGGTTTTTAGTGACCTATGTTTTTGTGCAAGTGCTGTTTAAGTACGTCATGTTTCAAGACGTGCAGTGGAGTATGCGCATATAGCATTGCTAGCATATGTGCGGTCCGCGTTCTGCTTCTCTATGATTTCGCTATTTGCCACATTACTTAACTCTTCACTTGAGGAGGTAAACCGTTGACGCTCATCCCTCAGCTAAAGCACTGTTGAAAATTGTGGTATCGGTCAAACCTTTAATGCTGCAGCATATTTTTTTGTCTTATGTTCAACCACGTAAATTGTATTGAAACAGCGTTCCGGCTCTATTGGTCGAATCACTTTCCAGTTCCCGATCTCTTCTCCCTGAATGGCAGAACATTTAGGTTAAGTCCACTTTTTAGACGACTCTTATTTAGCTATCTTTCTAAGTCCTTTTTTAAGAGCTGTTTTGCTCTTGAGGTTATGTTCATTTTTTCGGCTTCTTGGTCGCTTTGATTCTAGTTATGACTCTTGGCAGTAAGGATGGTCCATTTAGCGAGCCCTTATTAACGAAAATTCCATCTACACTTTATTCGATAGTTCACTGCTAATCCCATTAAGCCTATGTTATGCAAGTCCCGGCTTCCTCGTACGTAGATTCAAGTGGGGCTCTGATTAACTCACCTATTCCCTCTTCTTTTTATTTCACGCCTTGTCATCTCAAAGTTATCTGATCTAACCACGAGCTATTTCATTTGGTAAAAGTTCATTACTGTGTTGGTTGCAGTTTTACTCATATAGTACATGTTTACATATGTACATAACCAGTCGGCTTACGCCGGGCTTCATTCTTTACCCTTACAAAGTAATTAGAAAATGTAATAAAGGGGAGACCAGAGCCGTTTAAATCACCACGAATTTCGCCACGAACTTCGTCGCGTCCATCCAGAATTGGGTGAATGTACCCATACCCCAAGTAGGTCCGCATTGCGACGCCTATCAGCAGTGGCGTCATCGATCGGGCGCATATCAGCCAGATGGGCGTGGGTTGGCCGATTAGCACAGTCAGGAGAATCAGCCGCCCAGACGTGCTGTCCAGCTCAAAAACCGCATCGAATGAGCGGCGTGATGCCAGGGGCGGCGCCAAATGTATGTGTGTATGTGCCAGAATAACTGGTAATCTGATCTGAAGGAGCTAGACCGGGGAAGTGTGCGGGCTGAGCAAGTTATTCCTGTTCAAGATCTGCAATTTTTTTATTAACATTCTTTGCAGCATGCGGCCTGGTGTTGTCATGGTGGAACGGTACCTTGTGTTTTCATGCTATCAATAGCCGCTTTCCGCTAAAGACATCCTACAAGTTGTCGACTTGGTTTGGTCAGCAGTAATAGTTTCGTATGGATTCAGTAGCTCGCATTACACAATACCCTTCTGATCTTGCAAAATGCACAGCATCACATTTGGCAGTGGATATTCCCCTTCGGCTGCAAACCTGTTGGTTTCTTTCGTCCACATATGGCTTTTCCGTTTCGGATTATTGTAGTAGGTTCATTTTTCATTCCCCGTCACAATCCGGTGAAGAGAATGTGGGTGCTCCTTGACAACTGGTGAGCGATCCATTTTCCTAGCTTCCGGAGTTTTCCCATTGCGTGCAAGCGTCTGGGACTAGTCGCGCAGTTGAGCGTCTGGGACTAGTCGCGTCGTTCAGCTCCTCTGCCAGCTCTGTTTGGGTTTAAGCTGTATTTTGATCCAGCTATGCTTGCAACAGCAAATCTTCAAACTTTTTCGGCCGATCTATATGTTCCTTGTCTTCCAAATCAAAATCTCCACCTGTAGATCGTTGAAATCATTCTCTGGTTCGTTCAGATGGAGCCTATTCTCCACAAGTATTCAAAAGTACATCAGTGGCAGTTTTCGAAAGCAAACAGCAGAAGAAACCCTCGGAAAACGACTCATCACGTACCATGTTCAATCAATTTGTGAGCAACGCGATTGGGTAGAAAAGTTATTCGTCTGCCCTCATATACTTACTTTGATACTTTGATGGTCCTTCGGCAAGAGGGTCTTCTCAGCGCGGACCACAGCTCCTCCACACCGCCCGATCTTTCGCGACTTGCATCCAATGTAGGCCGCTTTCTCTAAAATATTTGGAAAACGAATCGGCCCACCGAGTCGGCGGACGTCCTGACGGTCTTCTTTTATTTCTCGGAAGCCATTCTGTGACTCGAAGGCTCCATCTGTCATCAGTTCGATGAAGTAGATGACCGGCCCAGCGGTGCTTCGAATTTGCCATGTAT